ACCCCGACAACCAGAAAAAACGAACCAAAACACTCATCCAGCCATCGATATCGGTTACGAAGAGATGCTAGGTCGAGAAGCCCAAGACGCTCCGACCTAAGAAATTGAAATGCCAGAGCCGCACCCGACCCTAACCCACGACACCGCAGCCCATAGACCCTCCACGGCACCGAAAGCCCTGCACCCACAAACCCTAACCCACCTTCCAAAGAAAGCGAATTTGAATCTGCAGCCACAAGAACCATCGACTGCCGTGGTCATCGAAGGCGCAGCACCTGGAAGGGCCGGGTGGCGTAGGATCGACCACCGGTAAGGCTAGAAGCCGCGAGGAAGGCGACGATTTTCGATTTGTAGCGGCGAAAGAGGAAGAAAATTTGGGGATCGAGAGATAAGTTATGATTACTATTGTACAAATAAACTAATATTGAATAATTAATGTTAACATGTGCGAAGATGAGAAAAATAAAATTTATAAATATAAATTAAATATTTAATATAAAATAAAATGACTTCTATCTGCATGCATGTATTTAATTTTGAATTAAGTCTACATATTTTTTATTTTTTATTAACAAAATAAATCTCAACCTTTCTTTTTTCTACGAAATAAGTGCGATGATGATTAGAGAATGACGTGAAATATTGATCGTTTTTTATAAAGTTATAAATAGACTCGGTAACTCAATATTAAAATATTTATTTTTTGCACGAAATTCATTAGAATTGTAATTTAATGTAATATTAAAATACTTACTTGTGCATGAAACCAATGAGAATTATAATTTAATATAATTATAATAAAACACTTTGAAAATTTTTTGTAATGTAATACAAAAAAAAAACATTGAAATTATATTATATAAAATCTAAAAGAAATAAAATAAAAGTAATATTATGATACATGATAAAGAAAAGTAGTTGATGCATTATAATAAGTTTGTAGTTAACTTTATCTACTGCAACGTTCAATTGTGGTAATATGATCTCATCAATCTCTTATTAAAAAAAACATTTTTAATATGGACAAAAATTAAATGATAATTGCCCATTATGCTATTTTTATTTGTAAAATTTTTTGATGCAAAATTGTGTATTTATTATTATTATTATTATTATTATTATTATTATTATTATTATTATTATTATTATTATTATTATCATTGCATGAAATTCATGAGAATTGTAATTCAATGTAATATTAAAGTACTTATTTTTGTAGGAAATCGGGAAAAACTGTAATTCAATGTAAGTTTTAGAAAAACACATTGACAAACTTTTGTAATGTAATACGAAAAATAAATTTAAATTGTATTATATAAAATATATAAAAAAAAACACATTATTGTGAAATCAACATTTTGATATAAGATAAGGAAAAAGTATTGATGAATTATAATAAGTTGTGTTTAACTTTATCTACTACAACATTCAGTTGCGAAAATATACTCTCATCATTCTCTTATAAAAGAAAAATAATAATAATTTGTTTATAAACAAAATTTAAACAATAATTGACACCTTATGCTACTTTATTATAAAAGTTTTAGCTATATAATTGTGTAGTTATTATAGAAATTAAAGGTTGTCACTTTGCACCAACTTTTACATAACCTCAAGTTTAAGCTCAAATGAACAAATAAAACAAATAATTATCAGATCTATTCAATCAATATGATCATTTTGTCTTCTAAGTCAAAACTATATAAATATTTTTTTTAACTCTCTTATTGTTGTTGAGGCCTCTCACTCTTTATGTTACCATTTTTTTTTTTTTTTTTTTTTTTTTATCATTGCACACTATCATTTCGCAATATTCTTATATTGCTTACCCATAAATAAGATTAAATTAGATGCTATGTTGAAACACTAAATCAATTATTTTGATATTGTATACAAAATATGAAAATAAATGTTCATCTCATTGTACAAAATAAAAGTTTATGTCTATACATATCAAATTATTTTTTATTATATCTTTAAAGTTGTATTTTTTATTTTTATAATATTATATTAAAAAATACTCAAGATGATCACCGTCAATGTTAGGTCAATAGCTAAAACTTATTTTGCATGAAATTTAAGATAATTTTAATTAACTTATTATTTAGAAATACAAAATTATTTTCACATATCAATAATAAAATATTTAATAATAATATATAAGTCTAAAAAAATAAAAAGTAAAACTAACAATTATGATATATGATGAAGAAAAAATAGTTGTTGCATTCATAGTAGTTGTAGAAACTTTATATGTCGCAATGTTTCGATAAAGATGATACATTATCATTATTCTTAAGAAAACAACATACAATTAGAAATAAAACATTAACAATAAAATTAACCCGTTGTGCTTTTAGAAATTATAGTTGTACAATTATGGACCAAATTAAAAAATTAATGAAGACAAAAACTTTAAGCTCGTGTGTTTAAGTGGACTCTTCAAGATTTTCAAAAAACAAAACAAATTATACTAACTAAAAAAACTATACTAACTAAAACTAAAAAAATACTAAAAACTACCGTGAAACGACCTAATGGCTAATATATGATCGAAAATTCATTCAAACAATGAATGATATATATGCATTTTTTTTTCAGTCTTCACAATCAAATCCATGAGTAGTCTCTTAGAAATGATGTCACATCTCTTTGTTTGTACATTATCATTTCTGGAAATTTTTTTTCTTTATACAATATTAGTTATGAAATATTAATCTATTGTTTATCTATTAAATACAGTCAAATTTCATTTCATTTTCGAATTCTATGATGTCGTTTTTTTTTTTCCTTTTGTTTTCATAGCTTTCATATTCATGGTTTATTGGTGAAATAAACTTAAATCCATATAGTGTTTTTTACTCAAGTAAAGGTTATTCAACATTTTCGAGATATATTTCATAGGGATATGAATGATCATCCCCAAAAATTATAGATGATATTTTTTCTTGAAAAATACATCTCTTTTAGCCGAATAAATTATGTTATTTATGATAAATATAACTTCATTATTTTTTATCTCACTCTATTTGTATTTTATTTATTATCTAAAAAAATATATTATAAAATAAAATAAATAAAGTATGAAATTCGGAGGTCTAAGTTCGCATTTTTGTTAAAAAAGAATGACATGTTGACTTGACTAACTCTTACTTCAGCTTACCTCAGAGTTTGTGATTGATTAGATTTTTTACAATTTAAATTAAAATATCTTGTTTAGGAATGAGGTACTCAATGCAAATTAATTAACGATCACTTGTAATTTCTTAGAATTACATACAGATATTAAATAATATAATATTAGATTAATAAGGGATGGTTACATATTTTCTTAATGTGTATGTAACAGTTTTGCTATGGAGCCATTGGATGGCTCGACTTATGGAGCCATCCATACTTATTCACCAATAGTGTATTGAAACGTGTCCTGCAATAAATACACTTTGGACATGTGTCAACACATTAAGTGGTGGATGGCTCCATAAGAAAACCATCCGATGACTCCATAGAATTTTTGGTGTATGTAAATTCCATCAATACAAAGTATATGTTTCAAATGTCGTATGGTGCTACTATTATATATTTTTATGAAAACATATGAACATGTATATGTTAAAATAAACAATGACGAATTTAAATTGACATATCAAATCTAAAAATTTATCTATAAATATGCATATAGATGCCAAATTAAACACTATAAAAATATTTATTTATTATGTTACATATAGATATCATATTAGTTATGATTTTTTTCTATTTTACCTTGAAATATACCCAATATAACCGAAAACATAATATTGTGTTTGATGTTCCAATAAAAATAATAAATGATTTTAAATAAAATATTTGACTTTAAATTTTATGTTAGTGATTAATTAAATAAGATTGATAATTTATTATTATAAAAAATATAATATATAAGGAAAGGAAATCATCCTCACAAACGGGAAAAGAGACAAATAATAAGTAATTATTTAAAATATTAAATATTATTGGTAACAAACAATTGATTATGAAAAAAATGTATATAATGGGAATTTGTATAATAATTGATTATGACTAAAATAAGTATTTATTTGTAACAAGTATTTATGATATTGTTGGAATGGTAAATAATACATAGAAATTAACAAATTTATTTCATGATAATATATGTAATTGAAGCATTTATTTGGTCAAGAAAAATTGGAGTGCAAATTCGAATACAATTATAATACAAATTAATTGTTTATATGTAAGAAATATTTTTTGTTGATAAATCATGCATAGAAATTGATACAATTTATTACAATGTATTAAATTCATAATAAATAATTATGTATAATATCAAATATTATTTGTAAAAAATAATTGATTATGAAAAAATATATATAATGGGAATTTTTATAATAATTGATTATGAATAAAAATAAGTATTTATTTGTAACAAATATTTATGATATTGTTTGAATGGTAAATAATACATAGAAATTAACAAAATTTATTTCATGATAATATATGTAGTTGAAGCATTGATTTAGTCAATAAACATTGGAGTGTGAATTCCAATACAATTATAATACAAATTAATTGTTTATATGTAATAAATATTTTTTGTTGATAAATCATGCATAGAAATTGATAAAATTTATTACAATGTATTAAATGTAGTTTTGGAGGAAAATTTTCCAGTTGCTTTGCTTTTATATATATATTTTTCCGCTTTTATATATATATATATATATATATATATATATATATAGAGAGAGAGAGAGAGAAGGGATCATATGAGAAAGGGAGATAGTGAAAGAAATAAGAATGAATATCTGCTGTTGGATCAATTATATCAATGGACATGATGAAGTCAAACATTAATAAATCTGGTCAAAACGTGATGGCATATTGTAAATATTTGTATATTTCATGGCCAAGTGTACACCCCAAAGGGCACTTCTGTATTTTGGTTTCACCATAATTCAGTGGGCCCCACGACTCATTAACCCTTCCCCTCCCCTCTCTCACACACACAAATACACACAATCTGTTTCTTTTTCACTCACGCACGCACGCACACAGTTCACACACACATACACAGAGTTCACACACACACACAGAGACACGGCGGCACCACAGCACACAGCCACCTCCCGCCGCCTCCGACCACACCCAGCGCTGCCTCGCCATCGCCGGATCTCGCCTCGCCCTCGCCAGATCTTCACAGCGCCACCATCATCGGCCACTTTGATCTCAACAACCACGTCCGATGGCGAGCTCGCCGGCGACCATGACGACAGCGGCCGCACTCCGCTGCAACAGGCGTTCATCGGTGTTCGACGTCGTCGTCGGTAGCATCTCCTTTTTCGGCGGGGGGTGATTGTGTGGTGGCCGACGGAAGGCGACGGCGGCGATGGCGAACGGCAAAGGTTCACCGGCGGCAGAGAAGATTCGTGTGTTGCAGACGAGTTGCAGAAGAAGATGAGTCGGGAATAGTAGAGAGACGGCGACGGCGACCTGAACGGGACGAGCTCGCCGGAGATCTGAACGGGAGATAGGAGGCGGCGGCCGGAAACGCCTTGGGGGCTGAGGAATTGCATCATGATTATGGTTGATTTTGATTTAGGTGAATTTTCATTCTGATTGTGAACAATTTTCGGTGAATTGTAGGTGAATTTTCATTCTGATTATGTGAAGTGTGAACAACCAATTTTAGGTGAATTGTGGGTGAATTTTCATTCTGATTCTGGGAACAATTTTCGGTGAATTGGCAGGGGAAGTTAAATGCAATTTTGGTTGATTTGGGTGAAAATTGATTTAGGGGTTAGTTTTATGTAAATTAGGTTAATGTTAGGGACTTTTTGTAATTTTTGTAAAACTTTAATTATAACATAAATTAATTAGTGATATAAATATTAATACTAAATTATTAAGAATTTAATAAATACAAAGATAGTGTTACGAAATTTTTAAAACCTAAAAAAAATGATATTTTACCAAAATACTTGACATAAATAATAATAATAATAATAATAATAATAATAATAATAATAATAATAATAATAACAATAATAACAATAATAATAGAATAAAAATATAAAAATTCGTACTGAATTTCTGTTCGTTTGATATCATTCGTTTTTGTGCAATGTAATAGACAGTTGTGTGCAATCTGTATAACCTTAATGTGCAATCGCAATACATAAAAATATATAGATAAAAAATAGTATTAATTATAATAAAAAGTATAAATAAATAAATAATTGGTAATATTTTTTCGTATATTTCGACGTGTGCGGTTATTTTGTTTATTAAAAAAAAAAATAATTCTGACATTAACCAACTAATATTATTTGATCGATTATTAAAATTACTGTAATTTTGATACGTGCGACGTGTTGTGTTATAAGGTGCAACATATTGTTGTATAAAGTGCAGTTTATTGATATATAAAGTGCAATACTGATATTATAGTATGTTATCACGAATGTGTTTATTTATTTATTTTTTTTTTAAATATAATGTGACGGATAGTAAAGTATTTTGTTGCTCCACTTTTTATATTCATATTGCGTAATATTTTGGCGTGATTGTTGACATTAATTGTGGAGTGTGTTTATAAAGTGCAACGTGTTATATTATAAAGTGCGATATTTTTTATTATAAAGTGCAACATTCTGTTATATAAAGTGCAATGATTTATACCTTTCTATATAAATTACGTGTATTCGAATTTTTTTTTAATATATATAATTGTACATCGAATTAAGCTAAATAAATAAAATATTTTTTCATTTATTAGTTTTATCATATAATTTATTTATTATTATATATTATTTTTATATTATTATGATATTTTTATATTACTTTATTTAATATTTTATTTATTAATTAATTTGTGCATAACAATAGGTAAAGAAATAGTTTTTTATTCACTTTCAGTATTTACAAATCTGACCCATGGTATTAAATTGAAATAAATTTAAATTCATAAAATTGCAATCAAGTCATTCAACATTATCTAATTCTCGAAAAGTTTCCCCATCCCCTCACGTTTGTATTTCTCTTCCATTCACCCCCGCCGTCAGCCTTCTCCGTCCGGTGATGGTCGGCATCGCCGATTTCAGTGGTCATTGACGTCCGACCTGTAAGTCGGCAGAATCGGCCGCTTTCCGGCGACGTCCCCTGATTTTTTTTTCTTACAAGATCCACCATTGAAGCTCGACGGTCGATTTTTCCAGCGCCACTACATCTGACTCGACTAGGTGGTGTAAGAATTATGAAGATGATGGCAGCTGGATGCTGGTGTGTGACCGAGTTTGGCGGTGGAGGATGATGTAGGAGACAACGACTTAAACGGCGGCGATCCGGAGCTCCACCGCCTCCGGCAGCGGATTTACTTGTGGACGTGTGGCGGCGATAGTCGGGGCGACGACGGGAGGCCTACCGGCGGGGAAACAGTGGAGGCGCTGCCGCGATTGCGGTCGTGGCCGGCGGAAGACGGTGGCGGGAGGCGTTGAATGGCGGCGCGTGTGTGTTTCTCAATTCTTCCTGTGTGTATCTGTGTATGTATATGTGTGTGTAGTGTGTGTGTGTGCAGGTAGATGTGTTAATTGTGAGAGAGAGAAGCTTGGAACCCGTGTGTAGTATGTGTGCTGTGTGGGAGAGAGAATGAGTGGGAGATTTGAATTGATTAGATGAGGTGGGCCCTACAGTTTGTTGGGTTAAAAATTCTATATTGTCCTTAATGAGTTTAAAATGTAGGAATTTTTTTAGTTGTTGGATCAATCGATCCGATGGCTAAAATTTATTCCTATTTCTCGCATTAAGAGTCATTCTCACCGGAGCGTGACCCTATATATAGATATAGATGTTTGCCAAAATGTATAATTAGTTTCATTATGCATTATGAACAATGTATGAGAAGACTACAAAATGTCTACTCTTTAGATAATCTGTAAAGCTTGCACTACTCTATGATGGAAAAGTCTAAAATATATTGAAGCAAGAATTAAAAGTTTCTTTTCTAATTATTCACAACATCTAACCTTACACAAGATATTCTACTTTTATTATCATTATTTTGATATATTCTTTTATGTAAAAAATATTTTAATTATACGTACTATTTTACACAACAAATATTTTCACAATCTTTACAGGTTTTCTATGGTGTGAAGTATTATTAGACAAAAGAAAAAATATTCTATAATATTTTAATTTATTCCTTAGTAGTTTTAAAAAATATATTATCCCATACTGGATATGAGAATTTTTTACATCCGGCTCGAGCAATACCAAACAGAACCAAAATTCATTTATAAATAATTTACCACTGTCATAAAGTTATTGTAAGTTACATATTGTCAAAATAATACATCTTAAGATAAAATCAATATAAACAAATTAAGAAAAAAAAATATTGTAGTGCGAGTGAATAGTACTGTGTGACAAGTAGCTGGATATTTTTTATATCTCCAGTTAGACATGGCCGCGGGCCGAACTGACTCGCGACCCGGACCGGGAACCGGTCCCAAACCGGCCAGAATCGGCCCGTAACTGGCCACATAAGGGCCGGTCCGTTGGACCGAACCGCAAGGGTCGCGGTTTGGTCCAGATTCATGTTTTTTTTTTTAGGTCCCGGCGGTCCAGTCCGGTCCGGGTCGGGTCGC